GATCTACTAAAACGCTATAGAAAAGATGTTGCTATTATTATTTTACCACCTTGATACTTAAAGGTTTGTTTTTCAATGGAAATATGGAACTTACAGATGGGGTGGATAATATACTCTCTTACTTTGTTTGCCAACACTTTCCATTGCAAGAGTATTTTCATTTGCTTACAGTTTGACTTTAGAGGGATAGTATTTTTCCAGGCCAGCTGTCTGCCTCAGGCAGAGTCATTTCAGCTGGAAAGTTTCAGCTACAACTGTTTGCCCATTTCCAAGAATAAGGGGGGAGGGAGGAAAAACAGGGACACAGTAGGTTTTGCTCTCACTATAAAGGGAAAAAAAGCATTACAAGACTCTGAGAAGTTCCATCAGTTTTGTGATTAGCAACATGGATTTCAAGTTTTGCAGGTGATGGCACTAGCATTGGGCATTCTTCCTCCTGTCCTGATGAAAAGTCATCACAAGGCTGCCCAAATTTTTTATTTTGAGCAACAATGAGTCAATATATAAAGAAACCACACTTATCACATCCTTAGAAGACATTTTCCAGGGATTAACATCTAAGAGCTCCCACGACTCAACCTGCACTGAATGCATCCCCCTACTCCCTTCAGTGGCTGAGTCCATTACAACTACAGGGGGCAGCTGCAGTCTTGGTGACATGCCAGACATAAAAGTGGACAGAATTTGCCTCTAGTGCTCATAACGCTTCTCATGTCCACCCCAGAGGGAGCTGAAGGACTTCGATGGGAAAGGCCTGGAGGGCAGATTGGTTTTGGAACCCTGAGCAGAAGAGCCAGGACTAGGGCAAGAATGAGCTGCAGAAGAGAAGAGGTCATACTTTGTAAAAATGAACATAAGAGACTTCATCTTCTAAAGAATATTCTTGTCCTGAATCTAGGATGTATGACTTCTACTAGTCCTCTGCTGTCAGCAGATGCATGTAAACCCCACTGGCAAATCACCAGAGCTGGGTCAAATACAGAATAAGAACCTAGTGTTGCTCAGATTAATTCTATTCTTGGCGAGGACCTATGCAGTGTCCTTAACAAGGGTAATCTTGATGATTACTTATGTAGATGTCAGTAAATGCTGTCTCCGTTTTGCAGGAGGCGGAGGAAAGTGGGTTCAGTTTGCTCTACAAAAAAGGCTAAAAGTAAATTGCACTTAAAATTAGCCAAAGCAAAACATGTTGCAAGAACATTATTAGACTTGTGAAGGCAAGCGCTTATCAGGTATAAAGTACCACAAATTAAGCATGCAAGTACAGTCATAGCTTGCCCCTATGTTATGCATGTGTTACAGAGTAGGTAGATTTCATGGCTGTTGTCAGAACTGGCCAATTCATTTGTCTAAATGCAAAAAACAATTGGCCAGGATGGCTGGATTTCAAAAAAGCTCTGCCAGAACTCAGGCATGGTTCCAACAGAGCTATGTCTGCCAAGCAGAAACCTGCTTATTTTCCTGCCAGCTTACCACTCAGCTTTTCACCAGCCAGCTTAGGAGACTGCTAGTTTCCAAAATCCAGATTTTGAGACAGAGATGAGGGACAGGCAAGGGACTGGGGGCGGGGAAGGGCTGCGCTGCATCTCAGTGAGCCAGGGTCATTTGGGGTCTGCAGATCTCTGAAGTAGGTAGCTGGACAGACATGGACATCAGCTCTTCCTAAAAGCGGAGCAACTGATTTCTTTTCTTGCTTGGTTCCTCTGGCCAACAACACAAGGAAGTAGCTGGCTCAAGGTCAAATAACAAATAGATGCCCAGTTCCCAAGCTCTTGGCTTCCTGACAGTCCGCCAGGTGAGATGCTGCCCAGCAAGGCTCTAAAAGCCTCACTCTTGGGTTCTCCGACAGCCAGGATTTCATTCTGAAGTTATTACCAACAGACATTCCATTCTCCTATCTAAAATCATAGAGATTTCTGGAGAAAGCCCTCATGATTTTGCTTTCATTTGGATATTTTAGAATCTCAAAATAGTCTACAGAATGGGCAGCCTTCTTGTATTTAATTACATGCTTGCGCTTGCGTTTGCATATCTTTGTTTGGATGTTAGATTTGACAAGTCCTCATTCAAGTTGCTTCACGTATTGGGGAGTCTTGAAAGTGGGCAGTCAATGAGGCAGAAGATTGAAAAAGAGAAAGACCAGTCTTATGGGTAATGCAGATAAATGCTGCCCTGCAGAGCCAAATTCTGTATCTACCTTTACCATAGATCTCTCAGACAATACTAATTAAATGGCTTAAATCCGTTTCCCATGGGGTTGCTATTCTAGGTAAAGTGACCAATTTGTAGAAGGATATAGCACTCTCAGATGCAACTTCATTTTAATGGCAGAAATGCTTTGAAAGTACAAATGCTATATAACAGCAGATGAATTGGAAAAATCAAGCTGTAGGTTTCTGAATAGAACAAACGAAAATTTATGATTACTTTTAAGTTTAGTCTTTCTATGCGTCACTCACCATTTGCCAAAGAGCTCCTGATCACCCAGGTGGGTTTTGAGAATGAACTCATTGTTTCTGAAAACGCTCTGATAACACAGAGATTATCATCTCAGAAAAGCTCACAAGGAAATTAATAATTATGTCTTCAGAACAGAACATGGAAACAAATTACCAAATAGCCGCTCATAAAGTATCATCTATTCTGAATCACAGTTGAGATGGCCTGTTTGGGGTCACCTGGAAGCCTGAAGCAGAACTGAGAACAACTTAAGGGCACATGATGTTGGATACGGGCAATAATCACAAACCTTTCCTCTGTTTCTCTGGCAAATAAATAGTGGACTGATCGCAAGAAAAATTGAACTATGAATAAGGAGATTCAGGCACTGACATTACATCCCTTTATGATGTCAAAAGTACCCTGTCACTTCAGGGTACTTTTAGCTCCAGTATGCAAGATGGGCTGTATTTTATATTTCTCGGAATCAAACATATGTGCCTGAAAATAATCACATTCACTTTGGGTCTATAAAAGGAAAAAAGACAGGGTAAATATTAATAATATTTTAAAACAATAGTCCACTGTTCACTATCTTCTCACTACTAATTGTCCAAGGAACTACCTATAGTATGTTGGATAAATTCACTATGTAGTTAGAGAACAAAACAATATATAGGCATCTAGATAAACACAATGGCCTTGCTGACCTCCAGCTAAAATAGCGTAACCATAAGAATTGTTCAGGTCTGACATACAACGCTCAACTTTAGCATACGAGGACAGGAAATGAACCTTTTTTCAAATAACAATCCCTTGTCAAGGCCAGGGCATCCTGAAGTGACTAGGACACTTGCTCTGCAGTCCACACTGGCACCTCCAAAATGATGACTACGACCCACGCTCACATATCTTCTTTGCACGCGCACTGGATCACCGTTCACACTGCAATTTGCTCAGCTCCAATGCATCTGTCTTGCTGAGCGCATGCAGGGCAATGTGGTATCACCTGCACAGCAGGGGCATCTGAGCCCCCAGGCACTCCTCAGTTGCACCACATACTTATGGAAGTTATTCAGAGCAAATGCAATCAACGTCTGACTGAGATTTCTGACTGGCCAATGGCCCCAGCAGTTGAATACCCAGAAATACAGTAACCTACTTTCAAGCCATAGGGTGTTAAATTATTGATAAAAGCTACAGTTCGTAATCAAAATTGGTAGGGATGACAAATCTGCTTTATGGGGGAGAAAATGTCAAGTTTGAAATCTGTAACCTATTGGAAGGAAAAACAATATTACGCATAAGGTACCAGCTCTTGTTCAAACTGGCCAGTAATGTTTTGGCCTAAATGTCTGAGTTATAAGGATAGACTGCTGGATTTTTTTGTCTGGTTACATTCATTTTCCTAGTCACTTGAAGAATGGTATCATTCAGTGCCTCTTCCAGTCTCAATAGTATGAGATGTCATACCTTTCAGAGTCCGAACTGCTAGTTGCTTAAAGCTAATCTCCTAACCTCTTGAAATAATAAGCACTTACTTCACTCTAGAATGAAAACAAAAAAGGGCTAAACAAACAGAACAGAAAGAAGATAAAAGATCAGATGCCTGTAACAAAGTCATTTTACCTCAGTATTCTCAGTATCTTATCTGAGAATAGACACAGAAATCAACTTTCCTTCCTTCCTCCTTCCGCCTGCCAAACAAAAAAAAAAAACCAGGAAAAGTTTCTAAGGACATCAAGAAAGGTGACATTTCATTGCGGTTCTTCTTACAGGCTCACATGAAGTGCATTGGTTAGTGGCCCCATTGCTCAAAACTAGATGCTACTGCAATCAGGTTTTCTGTCTTTTGTGTCCTTGTGAATGGTTCTGAACACTAGCAATACAATGCTAGAAAATTCCTGTCCTCATCTATTGCTGGAGTCTTTCAGGTCCACCCGAATATCCTTGTTGGGTATTATTTGCATCGATTCTGAACACACTGTTAAAATTTCAAGTCACATTTATTTATAGTTCCTTTTTAGTGCTACCTTTTTAAAGCACCAGGAACACTCAGAAAAGAATACTTAAAAATAATAAAGCAAGGCTAATGCATTTAGCTGCTGTCTCTGCCTATTGACAGAAAGGCATACTTTAAAATTCTCATTGTATTTGTTAAAAGCTGGGAAGTCACTGGCTAATGAAAATGTGGATTTAGTCATCCAGCAGAAATACAATCAGCAGTGAAACTTAGGTGACAAAACATTCATCCAATGACTGAGTGTGCATAGTAAAAACAGGGCTCTGGAGTCAGCTCATAAAAAGCTTGTTTTTGCAAGGCTTCCTTTTAGAAAGGAATACTTTACTTTGCTAATTGAATGAAGTAGAATACAAGTCAAGAAAGAACAAGATACAGTGTACGATTATTGCCTATGCCACCATTAAAAATAAACAGAAAACTGGATTGATGTTCTCAGAGTTCATCCACTAACTGCCAGTACCACTCTCTGTGTGTAATTCTGCGTTTCTACAAGGCCCACAGCCATTAGCTTGGCTTTTGTTTTCCATGTGAACCTTACCTTTCACCGTCACATGAACGCTCTGGCTGGTAGACAGCTGGGGCTGAACCAGGACGTTGCACGTGTACTCGCCCTCATCCACTTCCTTCTGCACGTCTGAAAGCTTCAATGTCCCATTGTTTTCAAATGCCACTTGGCGATGGTTAAAAGGTAACAAGTTTGAGTTCTTGTACCACTTGATGGAGTAGTATGGGTAGCCGATTACACGGCAATGGATATAGGTGTCCCGGCCGGCTATTGCTGTGATGTTTTTCATTGGTCGAATGCTTGCTGGCCCTATAAAGGTAAATAGAAACTCTTGAAAATAATTTAAAGGTACGTTTGCTTGAGGAAATATGCATACATATTTTCTGAATATACAAATGTTAACAACATTTAGAGACGCAACCTGCATGACACTTCTTCTTAGTACTTGACAGTTTTTGCTTTTAAGAACCACTTAAGCAGTCTCCCTAATCTTGATATGCTCTAGTTTTTCCTCACCCTACAGCACACATACTAATTAGGTGGGGGTATATATTTGTATTATCGAACACTTCCCTGATAAAATCTTTGCTGCATTACAAATTAAAGGCTGAGGATGATTTAATTAATGTGCAATACTAAAACTGATACTAAGCTGGAATCCTGTTACACATGAGAACACTGACAAAATTAGCATTTATTCTGACATATATAAAATATAATACCATGAGGATGGGTATTATGCCATGTAGAGCTAGAAATGCAAGCTAAAGTACTGTGTACGTGAATAATCACAATGAATGTTGAACAAGTAAAGGAGGAATGGAAAAGAAAAAACCCATGCATAGCAGGACTAAAGTAAAGAAACAATGAAGTAACAGAGATGAGATTTATCGGAAAAAAGACCATAGAACACAAGTCGAAGGGTATCTTCCAACATTTAACCATACCATACACTTTCTAGATGGGGCTGAAGAGGCAAGGTGGGAAGAAAGAGGGGGAAGAAAAGGAGAGGAAAAACAGTAAGTTGGTTTTGGCATTCCAAGACTCAGTTCAACACATGCAACAATCTTCTTCTCCACTACAATGAGTTATGTGTGTTTTTTTGAGGAGCTGATTTGACAAGCACCTCTTACGTTTATTCGAGCCTGGTAGAGGACGACTCCGGCAGAGTTGTTGGCAGTACAGCGATAAACTCCACCATCTCGGACCTGAGTGTTAGAGATATTCAGGTAACTGACCACGTTCCCTTCGGAGGTGATAATCTGGCTGATACGATGACTGCCATCCTTTACTATGGGATCTTCGTCCAGCGTCCAAGTGATTGTAGGCAGAGGAGTCCCCTTGACATTGCACATAAGGGAGACTGGCTCTCCTGGACTCACCACTTTCTCACTGAAGGCAGAAATGATTTTGGGAGTTCCATCTGCCGAGGGAAACAAAAGCAAGAGAATAGTATATATGTGCTACAACTCTCTTCCCTCTATCTTTGCCTATCACATGAGCCAAGAGTTTTTTAAAAAAGCTGCAAACAACTGTGCTCCAGGTGAGGGAGGGAAATAAATTTTCCTAGTAGACTGCTTAATTGCTTCTTTCCTTTCTGTTGTTTTTTTCCATCTTTTAAGAAACCTGTTACTGACCCCTGCTGAAGAAAGTGCACTTGAACGGATGGACCATGGCTCTGCACAGCAATATTAACTGCCAGGTTCTTGTGGAACATTGACTATGCACGATTCATCATTAAAGACATACAAAAGCCTTATCACACTTGGAATTTTACTTCTGGTACATTTCAGCTCCTTTGAAAGTTAGGCATGAATTCTGTTGGCAAGAGCCAGGCATAACTTGCATGGCCTAATTTCACACAGCTGTGCCAATTCAGTCCAGCCCTGACCCACACTACCCCTTTTCAGAAAAGTATTAAATTAAGCTTTTCCTGAATACAGATTGCCAGTAAGAGTGGTGATGCCAGTTTCTTTCTGTGGTCATTTTGTACTGCAGATAAATATCCCTCTGGGGATGAGAGCATTCAAATACTTTCTATTGTGATCCATGTCATAATTTACTCAGCTTCTACCAAGTGAGTGAATAAAAGAGAATAGATGGAGACACAGACTTTGAGATTTTCAGCAGGGAATAGAATTAAATAATTATCCAGCCAGAGAGTTCAGAGGGGTAATGTTTGGGAATGCTGACACTATGCTATTAGTTAGAAAGTTCTTTCCTAGATTATGCAATGCCTGGTTGTTCTCCTTTGAAAAATATACTTTCAAAGCTGTATCTAGAATGAATTTCGGCATAATTGGGAGTAAAAGTGCAATAGGCCATACATCAATAGCAGCATGCAAAATAGAGAAAGCAATCTAGTCAGAAGGGTGGAAAACAATACTGTACGCTACTGTCCGGTTTTAAAGAACCAAGTGGCGAGTGAGCTAACTTCAATTTTCCTACAACAGTGGTGCCCATAAGAAACAGAAGAAAAATGTTCTATGCTACATGGAGAAGGGTTACAGACAGCCAAAAACTCTTCTCACCTTGTGGATGGAGCCCTTTGACAATTCCTTTCAGTTTCTTATAGGAGAGAGGATGTCAGGACAGGACTGACAAGTCTCATGCTCTGTGCTACATAATGTCTGTTCGAGGACACTACACACTTTCTCTGAATGTACACTCTCCTGTAAGTACCCACATCTTAGGGAGGCATCAACCATGATGATACCCCTTGAAATCACAATTCTCACATTGCAATTTCAGTGTGGCATCACCCCGGAGATTGAGGGAAATGGCACAATGTGTATGAGGTTCCCCACAAAACGGGCTGAATCATAGCAAGGTCAAAAAAACAGCTGTAATCTTCCCTCTCCTGTCACAAAATCCAAAACATAGGGCATTGCCATTCCCAGAATGCTGAAAGTCCTCAGTATCCCAAGAGGGGCATTTGGTGTGATTTCATAATTTTCACCTCTTTTCCCATCTCTCCTTCATTTCTGTCCCACTGGCTGTGTGACAGAATTCTAAAATATTTATTTATTTTCATCTTTGAATCCCTTTCATTTCCTGTGTATGAAGTATTGTCATCTGTCAGGAAACAAAACAATAACAACAAAAAAGGGATTTTTTATCCTGAAAGGAAACTGACATAGGACCAATATATCTGTGGGTGTGCACAGTATGTACCTCTGCCACCCCCCGCTCCCTTTTTTTCTTAATTCAAGTGACAGGCTTTTTTTGGAGATGAAAGCAGACATTATTTTCCCAGCGAGACCCCAAGTGTCTTTGAAATCTTTCCTGCTGTTGCTCTCTGATAACCTGTGCTCTCTCGACATCATGATAGATTATCAATATGCTCTTTAGGCTTTCTTAGTCACAGAAGATGGTTGCCGAGGTAACGAGGTCCAGGCAGGTAATCTCCTCTTTTTCTATAAAGACTCTAAAAACAGTGTCCATGCCACAGCCACACTACAGCCTCATTAGCGAAATAGCTCTGTACAAATTGATTACTTTCCTCACTCGATTATCATGTGGAACAGTGTACCAGCTACTTAATATGATCTCCAGGCCTTCAGCCAATACGTCCCACCAGAAAAGCCATGCCCAGGAGGAGATATTTGGAGTTGAAA